GGCTGGACGTGTTTGTATCTTGAAGTGAATCGCATGATGGTGGCTGGACGTGTTTGTATCTTGAAAAGGACAAGTCGCCTGACACTTCGCCTTTTCACAGTTCTTAATATTAAGCTCATCACAAAACTCATCTTGAGCTTTTCAGAAAAATGAAGAATGTCTGAAAAAAGTGCTTCTTGACATAATGTTCTGAATTTCCATAATTATCTGATCAAAGGAGAATCTAAATCTAAGGAGTAAAAATGCTGACAGGTGGGATGGGTTAATCCTTTAAACAGTACAAAAATATAAAAAAGAATTACGAGTGAATTGCTGACGGCACAATTTGTATTCATAACAAAACATAATAAAGTTCTACATATTGATTTCAGGGTCATTACAATGGTGATAATGGAAAAAGATCTTTTGATTGTTTACCACTGTGAACATCCTTGAGTCAAATTAAGTTTAAAAAGTAAACGTGCTCTGGAACTAAAGTTGATTGTTGTTGCTGAGCACGAAGCGGTAACTAAGCAGTTTAGGTCCTCGGGCAAACTCTTAAATATGTGCCTTTTCCCCTTTAATGTTTTCGGTGTTCAAACAAAAAAAATAACTTTATTACAGATTTGCAATTTGTTAACTATTATACAGATACCGCATTCTGTTCATCAGTCCTGGAGCCTATTCAGACATGCAGATCCATTGGGATAGCAAGTTGGAAAGGATAATATCCTCACGTCAGTATTAAAATGAGTTAATCTGAAATCTGCCGGGTGAAAATATAGACGTCTGTAGTGTTGATAGACTGACATTTACAGGCAAAATTTCTTGGGCATAATGCTTATGAACATGTCTGTTACTTTTGTATTTTATTGAGCGTATGGAGCTTATTTTGATGAGGGGAAACAAACAAATAAGAAAGACCTTTTCCCTGAGAGTAAAAGTGTTCAGAGCTATTTCTTTACTGGAAAAAGCAGTGCTCAGGTACTTCTAGTTCAATAGGCTCAGGATAGTGAATTAGTTGTAGAGGAGTCCTAGAGGAAGGTGTCAGCTGTCAGCTTGGTCCTCTGTGACAATTCCAACACCATCTAAAAGCTTAGACAACGGAGCAACTAAGGTTTTTTATGTAAAGTCGTCCATACATTTTTTAATTTGACTTGGAGGCGTGTTTGACAGGACAGGCCCAGTCAGGAATTTAAAGCTGGATCAGATCTCAGAGTCTCATATTGCCACTAGAGTACTATTATCAGCAAGCTAGCAATTATAGCAGTTGAAATGTATTTTAAAAAGCCTGCTCAGTACTGAATTTGAAATCCTCATCACAGGCATCACAGTATGGGAAGCAATCATTATCAATAATTTATTGGTTGATAACTGGCCCACGAGCATGATTGATACCCCCTCATGCAGTGATGCTGCATAACATTACTCAGAAATATCATCTGCACTAATATTTCTAGTCTTGTTGCCTAGTGCCCCCCAAGTTAAAACTACAGCTTTCTGTTTCAGAATTAGTTGATTTTGCCTTTGCTGTTTCATTGACTGTAATCCTCCATCAATGTACTGGAAATGAATATTGTTCTACTATCCAAGTCATAGGTTTATACAGACATGTAGAGAAGCTAAATCTTTAGAATCTAGAACAAGATTGAGAGGACATTTGATACACTAATCAACCAAGTTACGTGGGTTAAAGTTATGCTTATACAGTATGTAACCAGTATTTCAGTTCACCCAGTGCTCTGTTCCAGGTTCACACGATATGCAGCAGAGCAGCTGTGGATTTGGTGTTTGCTGCTTGATAGCAATGTTTCATCATCTTTAGTGTTTGTATCACCATGCACATATATTCCTGACCAAAATAATATAGAAGAAAGCTTGTGTGATGTTGTACCAAAAAAAGTGTCCATGAAAGAGAAATCAAGCAAGTTTAAATGGCAATACTGCTGCATGGATTGCTTGCCAATGAAGTTTAAAAGAATCGATTATGCATACTATTAAAAAATGGAGAAAAATAGAGACTTTATAAATATAATGGTCACTGGTCACCAGAATTGGTCTCTGGTCACCATCGCCAAATGTCAGTTACCAACTCACCTACTGTACGTCAACTCACTAACCTTGTGCACTTGTTTCACCTAGGACCCCAATAGTGAAACGAGTACACAAGGTCAGTGTTGGGAAGAAATGAAGAATGAGAAATGCTTCTTGACTCAAAGAGTTGTGGGTCTCTTCCCAGCCAGGGAGTTGAGTACTGAGCTCCAGGCTCCTTCAGTAAGTGACTGGACTCAATTTTGAATTCAGCTCACTGATAAACACTTAACTGGGCTAAATAGGTCAGATGCCCTTCTTTCATTTACAGGCATTTCTGGGTTGTTGTTTTTTTTACTTTTCAAATATTTTTTATCATAAAACCCCTCACTATGCAGTCACTGATAATTAACCCTACAGTTGCACACAGGGGAAAGTGAGGAGTTGCAGACAGTTTCCTTTTACATTCCCAGCTCAAAGCTGTTCACCTTTTAAAGCCCTGTTTACTAACATACAGGACAAAGGAGTGTGGAGTTTGCCTGTATCACAATACAGCCGTGTGGGTTTTATCTGGAAGGGCTGGTTTCCTCCCTCTTCCCAAAGATATGATTCTGTATTTTTGTTTGTCCGAGTATGTACCCTGCAGTGGGCTGGAAACACATCCCGAGTGCTGCCTAACCTTGCCCTCGGTGCTTCTGGGATAGGCTCCAAGGTGCTGCCAACCTTACTATGAATGAGCAGCTCTGTGATGATGGATGGTTATGGGTAATTTGTTTGAAGAGTTTTGGTTGTATTTATGTTGAATACATGTATTCAAACAAATTAATCACTTTCTAGCAGACTGGTAGCCCTCATGTTTTGTTGAAATTGCCATCTTTAATAGTAAGTGTGCATTTTGGTTTTTAATGGTTCGGTAGCGTCTGTGTGGATTTGGTGGGATTAGGGAGCCCTCTGCTGTTTGAGGATTCAGGACTGGTCAGGATTACAACAGTCTTGCAAAATCCTGAGGAAACGTTGCAGCTTGTTTTCAAGTTGGCTTTTCTCTTAATACCCCAAGGTCTCCACAAATAGAACAAAGAGTATTTTATTTTTTATTCTTTGAAAACTTTTAAATCTAGTATGTGTGCATAGCTGCAGTATGCATAAAGAAAATGATGAAGAATGATTTCTTCAGGTGATGTTGGAATGGCGGGGTGTTTTCTTCAGGGAAGAACAAATAGCAGAGGGTAGTCTCTTTAATTCAAAGTTGAGGACTTGATGGACATGAAAGTAGAAGCCCTTTAACTGAAAGGATGACTTGACACAGTGACTGAACATTTGTACCACTGACTGGTCTCGCTGGTAATTTTCTGACCAGGAATACTGAATATCTGTGCATATAAATAATGTATGTTTTGTATGTTTGCCTTTTCGTCTCTTCAGCTAGCTCGGTTTTAATTTCCCTTTAACACAGTTTAGCATTATATTCAACTTTATCAGGAAGTGGTTTAACGTTCTGAACAAATGAAAATAAACATGTCTTCACAGTTCTTCTTCCAAAATCCTCTTTTCCTTTAGACAAAAAAGCAGTCTGCCACTTACTTCCTTTACATAAACAAGCTTAATTTGTGTCTGTTACAGAAGAAAAGCCAAGACATCAGTAGAGCATTCCATTGACTATCATACTTATCCACCACAGTGTTAAAGTTTTTGTCTATTCAAGAAACATGTTCGAACAGAATGAGTATGTTAAGGATAAAAGGTCTTGCTGTCGATCTAAAAAAAGATGTTAGACGCTAAGCAAGTGGCTTAAATGGTGTCACACAAATCCTGCATTTGCAGTGAACACGAGACTTTGTCCTTAACATTGCTGTGAAAGTGCTCATCTTTCTACAGCCTCTCCTTTGTCCTAACTGGTACATAACAGGGACTTGTCTTCCCTGGGGATGGAGTTACTCAAAAAAAGTGTGAGAGAGGAGGAAGTGAGTGAAGAATATTGTCTGTCCTCTGCTAGAGTGACTGATGAAGACTTGTGGCTTTCCACACCTAGCAAAGCACACAAAATACAGTTGAGAAAGTGAGTACAATTGTTGACATGTGCAGACCACAAACTCTGTTAAAAAGACGTTTATTGCTATGTTTTTCAAGCCAAGCTATGCATTTCTCTCACATTGTAGGCGATTGGTATCACATTTTCTCAAGTAACTTGAAGCTATTCGTAAAGAAAAAAAACATAGATGAAGACTGTACTGTATGTTTGGGTGGTCTAAAATATAAGTGATCATATTTTATGTGATTTTTTTCCACCAAAACCTATTGAATTAAATCGACTTACTCCCTTCCCTCTGCATGATAATCAACAAAATGGATTCTGGGTCCATAAACTGGAAGGTCACAAAGAAAGTCTTCCTCTTCCTCCTATACAATTCAATATTTTAATCCGGGAATCCTTTCATTACAGCAATTTATTGTGTTGAAAAAGTCCCGAGGGAGAAGCAGGATGTGACTAAGCTTACAACTTTTTCTTATGTTAAGGGTAAATGAGAATGGGAAGGAGATTTAAACTTTAGACATTGAGGAATTGATGCTGAGGTTCCCAGAAGATGCATGGTGGTGCTGTTCCCAACTCTGTTCCATCCCTTTGTCCGTTTTGGTCATAGTTCTGGCTTTGAATAACACTTATGTTTGAATAGGCTTTTACTCCACTTGGCATCACAATCTTTCCCCCTTCCTTTGACCCTCACACTGAAGACTTTGTCAAGCCCCACTGATCACATACTCTCCCAGCCATAATGTTTCCACTGCCAGCTCTGACAGATGACGTGACGGAATCAGAATGGATTGCCCTCGGAGTATTCTTCCGATTTATCCCCGATTTAGTGCTGAATAAGAGCATCTCCTATTCAGAAACATTAATATAGTTTTAAAAAAGGGAGCTGTCCTTGGGATGAAGAGATTTGCACTTCAAAAGTACTTTTTTTTTTAAATGTTTTTCTGGGATTTTCTTTCAGGACCTGTGACGGGAGAGGCCCTTCCCGTGATAATCCCGGTCCTGAAGACATGCCTGCAGCCCAGCCGGGACCCAGAGATGAGGCTAAAGCTCTTCACAATGCTGTCCAGGCTCCTGCTGAACGCCAGCGAGACGGTGGACTCGCGGGGGTAGGTAGCACATCGAAGCGCACCGCCCCTGTGTGCAACAATAGGGAGATCAAGGTCAGTGTAATTATTGCAGCCCCCTGCAGGAGCAGTAAGGGCTGAGAATGGAATCCAGGGAATGAGTCAATACTCCCGCTAGCTGTCTTTTGCACAAATGCTCCATCCCTGCTGCGCTCATTTAAAATGTAACAATCGAACAGGGGGAGTAATGTCACACTCTTAAAATATCTCTGGGAAAAAATGCACGGTGAACAGCCTTCTGGTTATTGAGTGTCTTGTGGGGGACTGCCAGAATGAGACAAAGGTGAAAAGTTTAACTCTTTCCAATAACATACCATTTAGGAAATGCTGCAGATCTTAAATGCCCATCACAGGTCTTGGTTAGTTGTCAGAGTCTAGTATGGGTATAGTGTAGTGCATTCGGTTCTGTTTTTCCAAGGCTGTGTAGAATTGTGTTCTAGTCCAAGTTAGCACTTTCAAATCCTGTCCTAAAACGCGCTTGTAAGCATTAGCTTTTTTGTTTAATTGTATTTGATTTTGTACATCGGCATGTTTCTCTTTATTTTTTGTTTTTTACTGCAAAATACCTTGATGCACAGGTTCCTTGAAAGCAGCAATATAAAATAACACTCGTCTTCTTTTTCTTCTTCATCTTTATTATCCAGTATAATATCTGAAACCGAATGAAAATTGTTGCTAATTAGGAAGAAACAGCAGGCAAAAGTAGTCCATAATTTTCTCATACATTATAGAGAAGCTCGTAGACATTATAAAGAAGCTTTAATACACATTCGTGAACCTTTTCAACACTGTAAAACTCAGCAGCATTTTGCCTTACTGAAGCAAACTTTGCAAAAACTCCAGTCCAGTGTGTTACTGTATCTCTTCATCCTCAAAATTATCCATCAAAATTAGGTGTATAAAAAGAATACTGATACTCTGTGCAGGTTCTTGATTATTGAATTCTTTGTAACCCATTATCCTAACATCCAGGCATGGTTATTTCTGTGTGGTCCATTTGCCCATTTTTGTTTGTTTTACCACCTTTGTTGCTTGCTTTGCATGATAGCTCCTCAATACAAAAGAGGTGTCCTGTTTCCATTATGTTATTCTCCAGGAATTACATGGCCGGTGGAGAATGCCTTAACAGACATGAGCTGTGTGTTCTCAGTACCCTCACACTTGCACATAAAAACAGATAGAATGACAATCACCACTGCAAAGACTAAATCAAAAGTTATTTTGTGTAAGCCACAGGGGGCAAAATCCTTGGGCTGCATTGTTTCTTTTAGGTTGTGTATTTTGGCTTGGTCTCTCTATGAACAGGCTTCAGATCTTTGTTGTTTAATTTTTGTGGAATGTGTTTAGCGCGAATGTATCATTCAGTGCGGTTCTTGTGGTCTCTGCAGTGATTTCTGAATCAGTTGGGGACTATTAACAGGTTTGCTTAGCTGGCAGATGATAATGCGTTTCGCTGTTGCTCCAAGGAAATATTTATCTGATCTTTTTCCAGTTATTTAATTTCTTCCTATATATTCCTGATGCTTACTTGCATTTGCTCACTTATTAAATATTTGCTCTTTTCTGCAAATAAAATAAGAGGTGGCCAGAGCAACAAAAAAAATTCTAAGATGGTGAAGTAAGAAGTCTGAATTGTAAAATTAGCAGTTTAGGTGGTAATCGAAGTCCAAAAAAGTAAGTTGAGCTTGTGTTTAATGATTTACATGTACAAATATAAAGTAATTTTATCAATATAAATACTATTTAAAGGTTAGGAAGTTCAGAAACAAAGAACTGCGTATTAGTTGATATAATTTGAATTAATGTAGTGCGTCACCTTAACATTACACGTCTTATCTTCCAAAGCACCTGAGTACACTGTACATACATTTCACACCCCACCTGAAATAATCTCATCCTGTTTTTTTGTCCTTTTCGAAAATTGTGACCTCTAGATTGTAGAGAAAAGTGAGGTTGATGTAATTGTGAATGTCTTTCTTAATATTTTTTAAAGAGATACAAATGCTGTTTTGTTCACGTTAACGACCTCTGTGCTTCTGCAAAAGGTTCTTACCTTCACCTCTGTGTTACTGAACCCCTGACCTTGAAACCAGATTGGAAATCAGAGTAACCATCCACCAACCCCAGTTAAGGTGAAGTACTAGGAATTTAGCTTTAAATATGGGATTTCTTCCCCCTTTACAAAAGTTTATATTATAATATGCAATTATTGAAACCATGCCAAATGCATCCAGTGACATCTGGTGGAGCCTCCTCATTTTTTTATTCTGTTTGTAATCATTACTTAAATCTCATCAAGACCGTTTTTGCTTCGACGTGTAGCGCTGTGAAAAGATTTAGAAAGCACCGATGCCGTGCATTCCTTTCTGTCAGAAAGCACCACCCACCCCGCAGGATGAGTCCTACTGCTTGATCCAGTTCCAGGCTGTGCCTTTGATTGAGGGTGGCAAGAAGTCCCCTGTGATGGAAGGAAGTGCTGCAGGTCCTGGACCTGGCTGGAGGGTCCTTCAGCACCTGAAATGGGGACACAGTGGTCATGTCCCTACTGACTCTGCCCTCCAGGCCACACTAAAAAATCCATTGTGTCCATTTCACAATCGCAAAAGCGACCTGGCCCGACCAGGGTTGAGGATCCTTAGGTCTACAGTGCTCCTAAATTCATCCGAGAGTCCAAAGGCTGGTGGGGCTTGACCAGCTGTTGGTACTGTAATTCCAGATCCACTTGAATACATTCATGTCAAGGGTATTGACGTTACTACTTAGTCCTTAATTTCACAAAATCTGAAAGGTGACTTTCAGTTAATAATATTACATTAATTAATACATTACAGTGATTAATAATACATTAATTTTAATACAGTTGAATAATACATTAATCATAAAGTTAATAATATTATCAATATACATATGTATGTAATGAATCGTAAAACCCAGAGGTTTCTGTGAGAAAGTGTGTAGCACAATGTGAAACAGGAGGCTTTAACAAGAGTAGACGGGAGCACCCAAACCTAATGTGAAAAGTGCAGGATTGCGATTCACTTTAACTGTAAACCTGTATTAGAACAAAGAGTTCAACAAACTACTTGTGGGCAGGTTTTTGGCAGTGAGTGATGTTAAAATTTGTAGCGCTGCTGATAACAGTTTGCAGATAAATCTGGAATATAAAATGACTGCAATTAGAGGTAAAGTAATAGGTGCAGTAGGATTCGTTTAAATTAATAGAAAATTACAGTTTAAATAATTCTTTTGTTTTGTTGTTTACATATGTTAACTTTTTATTAACATTCTTAACATTTTGTGGTATGCAGATTGGTTCTGTTATTCCCATATGCTTTTCAGTTGTATAATGGCTTCAAGGGTTAAAATTCTGTGTTTGGGACATGAAGAAGGAAATGATCTTCTAAATTATCATACGTTATGGTAACCGGAGAGCATTCTAATGGATTTGTCTTCTCCGAGATTAGTCTAAAGTCTTTTTGGAGCATGCAGAGGCATAGTGTGGAAAACAGCATTGGATTCATTTTTGCAGTGGCTTTACAGTGGAAGCACACACTGAGACAGTGAATGCAGGATTGTCAAGCAGCCCACTGGCTAGAGTAATGCAGGATCTTCTACTCTATATCCTAGCAGTTTTTCTTCAAACAGTGACTTTGGGTGTCCTCAGATGTACTCAGAAAGCCCTGGGAAAATCCTGGAATCATTTCAGTAACAAAGAAATAGTCTAGCTATAATAAACATCCTTACTCCATAATTACAATTCATTCAGTTGCTCAAATTGTCAGAGTCTGGATCCAATTTTAGTGTCTTTGGCTGCTTGAATTCTGCTTACCATTCAATTCATTTCAATAAAATTGGCTGGCATTCTGTGTGATTTTAATTTAATAAACCCATCCTTTAGGACTGGGGTAGGAATAGTCAGTTGAAGTCATGTAAATTGCTGTATGTTATGTTTGTCTTTTGTAAGGGAGTTTGTCATCTGTGAGATTTGCATAGAGAGACCCTGAAGAGCATTTTAATTATATATATGAAGGAAAGCTTCTATCCTACAGCATTCTTTGTGAGGATAAAGGAGATTGTCTATTTTTTACATTGTCTATTTTTGCACACTGACTGAAAACTGAGACCTCAGACAAAAAACTGCTCACCTACACTGGTGGTAAAGTTTAAACCAGTTCCCTTGTTCAGAAATAGCATGTTCATTTACTATGAAACTGCAACCAGTGACTCAAGGGGTTTGGTTTTGGAATGGATCTACATTACACTGAGGCACAGTGATGACAGAAGGAAAGAAAATGAATGGATCTGTCAAAACTTGGTGACAAGCTCCAAAGAAAGTCTGCCTAATAATATCAACGGGGAAGTATGGAGCATGGAAATATAAAAGTCTTATTTTAGCTTCATTCTCTTTCAATGTCTACCTAACACTACATTGAAGTACAGCAGGGAAGAAAAGGCTAAACTTCATGATGGCATACGTTTTGGTAAGATTAGTAATTAGGACCTCAAAGTCTGGTTAAAAAGGCTCAAGTATCTGCGTTCATGAGCTGAAAAGACGTGTTTGTCTAATATATTTATTGGAATGCTTTATCCCTTATGGCTCAACAATGGCAGTTACACTGTGAGATATATGATGCCCTAGTTGCTTCAGGTCATTATCATTACAGTTCCACCAAGCTGCAGATTAGGTATGTGAACTAGTTAAGCCTATTATATTTCGGATAATTTAACGATTGCTGTTTATAGTGTCGCAGTCTTTGTATATCTATTGCTTAGAGAACATCAAAGTCAAAATAAAGACATAGCAATGAGGAAATGAAACTTGAAATCTAAATCAAACTATGGTAAAAGTACATTTCTACACTCTTTTTACAATCATGGGCCTTTTTTCCAGCCCATTAATCACATGGGAGTGGGCATGTGTTTGTTTGTGGCCATGTCTCAATGGTGGGGGTTGTGAAGCTCGGGCTTGCTTTAGCCTGGCAGTGGCTGCTTCTGGTGATTAAGGTTCCGGATGTGCTGTCCTGATAGGAAAGGGGAGTGAAACATTCCCTGAACCCAGCAGTGAGGCTGCGTCCAGTCAGGCACTAGAGAGCCTGAATAAAGCCTTCTTCAGCAGGAGGGCATCGGGCCAGTTGAATCAGCAGGTCTCCCCTTTTCATAGTTTACCATGGTAACTGCTGTTTGGAGCTGTTCCTTGCCTCCTTTTGAGTTGGAACAAAGCCCCTGAGAGATAGGGTTGCCAGGAATTCATACTTCAGTATTAACACACACCGAACTATCGCGCATGAGAAGAACCTGCAGTCAAGTTTGTTTGAAACATAACCTGCACCAGAGCTGGAGAGCAGTTGGACTTTCTTCTTAGTATTGTGGATGGTTCTTTTTATGCCAGAGGCGGTAAAAACTACAGGCTACTACAAATATTGAATAATGTCTGCAGTCTTTCTAGTGCTATTGATGACAGTTTCTTGAGTTCATAATATTTTTCAAAAGATCATCCATCTCATTTGAATCACGGGGATGCGATTTCTGGTTTTCATCATTTCTAACACATCTCTGGTGTCCTATTCTCCTACCACTAATCTCCTACCATTTTAATAACAGTTCTTTGCATTTATACAGCACTTTACATCCTAAAATAATTTACATGAGAAAGTGGATGCACATCTTCAGCCACAGGTATACAGAGCACACCTGGGTGACCTTGGCAGCCATTACACACCAGCAGACCCACTATACAGCAGATCAGGTGCGGATATGCAATACACAGCAGAGCAGGTGGAGAGGTGAGAAATTACTACAGCAGCTGAATGATGGAGAACCTCAGGCTGGCCAGATTGTGAAAGCTCAGAGCAGAATTTGGCCAGGACTCTGGTGTTCATACCATTTCTGTTAGAGGTCTCTCCCTCCCCGTACTGACCAAGTGCGTCCATGTTCAGCTTCTGAGTACCAATGAGGTCAGTACAGAGCAATAAAGGTGCTGTCATGTTGTATAAACTTGAAAATAGATTACTCTAATACATTGTGTGCACGTCTAATTATATGCAGAATGTAAAGTTTATTCATTTTTCTTAACTTTACTGTAGACAAAAAATCCAATTTTTTATATTTTTAACCTGCCTTTTGATTATACTTGTAAACATTCTATAAATTGTTTTAAGGGAAAGTACCACTATAATGCTTGTCTCTCCATACCCTGTCAGACTCTAAAGAGGGTCTAGGAGGTGTGCAGGGAAAATCACAGCCTGGGTAGCATAAAGGAAAGCATGAAAGACTAAAATAACCTGAAGCTGGAAGACTTCCAGGTATTCGAACGCAGACTCTTGTGGGGTGCCTCCCATCACCACTGTTTCAAAACAGTTATTAACACACATCAAGGATTTTATTTCACAGTGCTTATATACAACAACCTTGAGTTTTGTCTTGTACTACAGTCTTTTAGGTCCTGGTTTACCTTTTTTAATTGGTGCCCTCAGTTCTTTTTGTTACACTATTAAGATATTAACCCTGCAGTTTCAACGTGTACATATGGTAACAAACACTTCTGTGGGCTGTGTTGTGGTTGGTGTACAAACTTCTTTACACTTATAACTTATTTCCTTTTCGGAAAGTGCAACCAGGATCTGACTTGTAGGTTACAAGTTTATCTTCCAGTAAAAAATGAACTCTATGAGTATAAACTAACAAGAAAATACACAGTTAGGGATGAGATATTTATCTTTTGTCTGTGACTGTCCAGTCGTATCCTAAATAAAAGAAGCACCTTTCATTTGTTGAGTGCATTGGCTTTTCTTAAACATTTTTATTTTCCATTGATTTCCTCAGAGAGTTCAGCAGCTACCTGGATTCCTTTCTGAGAGATATTCTGATTCCTAATCTGCTCTGGCATGCTGGACGGACTCCAGCTGCAATTCGCACCACTGCAATATCTTGCCTGTGGGCACTTCTGTACAGTGGAACGCTTTCAGGAGCTCGGGTAAGTCAAAGCGTGCCCTTTTAAAACTCGCCGTGACACTGACTGATGCATTGTCAACTTCAACTTTTGCCTTTTGTCTTTTTTTTTAAGCCACCGGCATTTCCGCCTTAGAATGATATAACTTCCATTAAAGACAGGACTTTGTGCATCACTCTGCTTGGCTGGCTTGTCTCACACGTAACCAGCTCTTGTGCCTAGCCTCGGGTTTCGGTACGTTGCTCAGACACAGCCCTGTACTTGATGCACTGTATGTCAGTGCATATCGAAGGATGAATATTAATGTCAGCAGGAGGGAGTGTTAAAGGACTGGGGCCAGCCAGTTCAAAAGCCTTTTTCCTCCATTAACAAACTGAATTGTCCTTAAAGTGGTGAGTGATGGTGCTTCCCATACAGTACCTTCCCTTTAAAACAAAATGGGTCTGTTAAGTGCTGGGACGTATCTGACTCGGGAACATCAGAAGGAACTTGGTGCAATGTGTTTGTTCCTTCATTTTAAAATTAGCCTTTGGCCCTTCCACATTAGACTCCTTAGACAGTTAAATGGAGCCCAGCATTTTCACACATTTCACTGCAGGTCTATCAGATTGATTTAACTTCTCATTCTTTTTCATTACAAAGCACCTCTCTTGAGCCATTTTAATTATTATTGTATTGTGATTATTCATTATGATACATCTGATGACATAAATAATAATGTAAGAGAGGCTTGGCAAAAGTCTTATCATATAATCACATAGATCATTAAAACATTAAAATTAATCAAACCTAAATGTTACAATAACACAAAAATAAGATATTATGGTTCAGAGTTAACATTATCCATTAGCACAGTCTACATGTTGAGAATGTTGCTTTACTAAGTAAAATCTAGATGCTGTTTGCTCCAGCAGTATGTTGCCAGAAGCTATCTTTTCATCTTCCTTGTATGGAAGGGGACATTTGAAGGTCTTTAAATTTAACAGATTGTGAAGTGTTAGTGTAGCCTGTTTGGTCCTGCATACCTTGTAGAACAGACTGGCTTTGAGGCAAGAGTTAGAAAATATGGGATTTCAGTGATACACTTCACATTGACAAAACTAGATATGCCATCTTTCTTGTAGGGAAAAATTTGCTTTCCATGTGCATGAAAAATGTATTGTCCCATCAGTAGCTGGAGTTGGAGGAATTAGCTTTGTCTTTATGCTCATTTCATTTTATTCTTTCGTAGAGGAGATCTTCATTTGAAATCTCAAATTGATCTGCTCCTTCCTGTAAAATCGCTTTAGCACTGCTGGAGTCCTGCTTGGCCCACCTGGAATGTTATTACAGCACTAACCCCTCTTAATGTTATTGGTGCCCAGGATTTCTTGCTTCCGAGACGGAGAAGCTTTTTACTCGGCACTTTCTAAAGCCCTCCAGAGTACGCCAGCTAGGCTATGTCTTTAACAGGTTTTTGTGCATAAAATGTGGGTTTCCTCTTAGGGGCTCCTGCACCTTTCCGGCAGTACTTAGTATCCAAACAGTTTACCTCTGTCTGGCTTAGTGGGTGGCATGACCTGGCGGCTTTGTAGTCAGTGGCCAGCTGGGAATACTCAAACTCCTCTCAGCCTGCTAGACTACAATGGAGACAAGGAAGGGAAAACAAGCTGTTAATTACAGAGAATGCCACAAGTCTTAACCTGCTATGCCACCTAGTACTCAGAAAAGTGACTTTATCCTTTTTTTTTCCATGGAATTTGTCAGAAAAAAGAGGGTACAGAGCAACTGCAGGAACATTTTAGAGTTTACATCTTGTCTGAGTGAGAATCGGACAAAAGCACATGCTAAATACTCTACATGTTGGGTACAGATGCGTACAACATCAAACTATTATCACTGTGTCGCTCAGAATGAGGTGAAATGTCTCTTCCATACTGAACTGGTTGTTGTCTGCTTTCTCTTTTATATACTGATCCTGATTCCAAGATAAATAAGTCTTGGAAAGAATTAATATTCTTCACATGTTTGCCCCCTTCTAATTAATATAGGGTTCTCCTGCACTGCTACAAATTAAGGGGGGCTCTTAGGTAGACAGTTGTGTGGTAAAAAAACTAAACAATTGACACATTTCACGAACTTTGCATTTTTATTTGCTCATCATGAGATTTAAAAAAACAAAATTCTGTTGTGTCATCAGGGTGCCGAGACTGCTTGTGTGCTGTTTGGCTGAAAGTTAAGGGCTCTTTCTGTTCTAGATGATGACCGTCCACAGTGAGCTCATGCCCCACGTGATCGCCGCTCTTGACGAAGACTCCAAAACGACTCGTCAGATGGCTTGCCGTATCCTCGCTTCTCTTTTGAAACTTTGTGGATGCCAGCTGGACCCAGACGGGCTGAACAAGGTTTATCCCGGTATGCTTGCAAGCGGTCTCTCCTAAGTAGGAATGATCAGAATAATTACTGGTCTCAGGAATTTCCCAGACAGACAGGAATGCAGTCTCCTGGTAGAATAAAAACAGAGGCAGCAGACTATGATTTATCAATCCAGGTTTTACTGCGAACAGCAGGAGGGTCAGGGTGAACATATCGGGTTTTCAACTATTCAAGCAATTGGTAATTGGTTCAGGTAAGTCTTCAGCATGAGCAGGTGTGTTGCGGCCCCGACACCTCTTCTGCTCTTCCTCACCACAGAGCTCTTGAAACGCCTGGATGACGCCTGTGATGAAGTGCGCCGTGCGGCCGCTAAAGCCTTGGGCGCCTGGTTCCAGTGCGTCGGGGACGAGTACGACAGAGCCCTCTTCAAGAGCCACGTCGAGTTTCTGTTCCGTGGGCTGCTGGTTCACCTTGATGACCCAGAAACCAGTATTCAGAATGCCGTATTCGGTAAGAACTGGGACGCAGAACGCCTGAGATTCGGTATAAGTTTTGTAGCTTGGTGGCTGAATCACAGGGCCATCGACTTGGATGTTACTTAGTCTGGTTGAGAATCCTGCAGCAGGAAGATTGTTAGTATGGCTGCAACACGATGTAGATTCTCTTAACAGCAGTTTTTGTTTTCTCAGTATTTGTAAATGTTACTTCACTTGAAGGCTCGAGGTTTGTCTTTTCCCTTATGGAGCTAGACCCCAATTAAATACACTGTGGTATTCGAATTGGGCATATCATCTATTCATCCATCTACACATTTTCTAACCATTTTATCCGAAAATGGGTCAGAGGGAGACAGCCTGTGCAGGCAAGCAAGCATTGGGCATTTTATTTATTCCTTAAATCTGCGCTTCTCATTTTTTGTGAGTATGGGGACTCTGTAGGATATTCATCTGGAGGTTACCATTAATATCTAGGTGAGCTCCCAATGAGAAGTGAAAATTCGTTACTTTGACCTCAGTCAATCTGCAAAATAAACCAGCCTTTTTCAATGCTCTTTGATAACTTGGAAAAGCAAAATCCCAGATTGTTAACGTATCACAAAGTGTTTGAGAAATGGTGTGCTAGGGAACACTGGGTATTTCAAACATTAACTGTTCCCACAGTTTTTGGGGAATTTTTTTGTGAAAAATATAAGGCTAAAAATTTCCTCTCCCTTTTCGCGATAGTTCTGCTGTATATCATCGCGATTTATTACTTCTTATATCAACACAAGGCTTTCTGTATTTAAACTACAAAACAAAGTAAAGAACCACATGGATAACATTTGTGCTCCTGTGGGCAGGACTGCTAGTTTAAAATAGGTCACTTAGTGAAAATCCATCTTTCTTATCTTTTTACAAACTATGCATGAATCTAACAAGTTCTGCAGTCAAGTGGAGAGCAGTGTTAGGTTGCAGGCTACAGTCGAAAAAAGGAGAGGTTAATTTCACGCTGAGGAACAGTGCCATGAACGTGATATGAAGCATCTTTTCCTGCAGCAAATACAATGATAATAACCCTTAGTGGCTGTGTTGTGTGGGTATTGTAGAAATGACTTTGACAGCAATACCTTCAAAGGCTTCTTTAAAAAAAAGGTTTAATGATAATTGGACAAGTTGTCCTTCACTTACAAAGGCAAGAATTATCCTGTCACCAGGGATAAGAAGTACTTTAAAGAGACGGCGTGGAATGAGATGCCAGATTGTAGATAATGCTGATAGCGCACATTAATGCTTATTGCCCACAATAACAGATACCATGGCATAATGAAGACATTGTGTTGTCATTTTTTTTCTTTAAGCTATTACATAGGTATTCACTTTTAAACATTTCTTTTGGCTGCTTGATGTCTGATTTCTTGCCAGTGCTACCTTGGGTTTTCCCCTCTTGTAATGCTATAGTACTGTTGGTTATAACTATCTGTTATCTTTCATAATTGTACCTTTGTCAAAAAAGTATCCTTTATTACATCTTTGCACAAGCAGGTATTGTTCAACAACCTCTACCTTGTGTGCAAATATTCATGTAAACTAATAAAAACCTTTTAGTTTTAAAACAAAGAAATGCTTATATCTGATAACTTATCTACATTGCAGCCTTAAATTGTTCATTTCCCATGTGGGCTAAAGCATTAAAATAAATTACTCAGTGTGGCAGGTTTTAGCGCTTTTTTTTCTTTGCTTTTTTTTGTGCTCTGTACATGAGCATGCATGTATGTGCGATTACAGTGCCATCTAGTGCTCACACATGGATGGGAGACTTAAATATCCAAGGTGACCAAGGGCTTCAGTTCGGTTCAGTTTGTCATGCACACAAGTGCAATGAAATGCTTATTTGCACGTGCTGTATGCCCCAAGTTTAGTCAGTGGTAGGGGTAGAGTTCAGTAATCTGATAGCTTGCGAGAAGAAACAGTTACCTTAGACAGTAACTCTAAATTTTTGGAGATTTCACTCTCTTAGAGTAGAATCAGAGAAACTTTCCACAATATGCACCTAACAGTTATCTGTTTGGAGGGAAGGCCTGATCTAGGTAGTGTCTGGGTGCGACAATACAAAGAAATGCACAATGCAAAAGAACATTAAGTGACTTTGAAATAGGTTTATAGCCTTCTCCCAGCTTTGTCCCCGAGTTGTTTTGAAAGGTCCTTGGCCATTCAGCACATTGTGTGACTTAAAATAATGATTGATTTGCCATAGCAAAAAGTTTGAATACTTCTGCAGTCAACATATTTTAGTTTTTGATTTTTCTTCAGCACTTTTAGCTGACATTTAACTTTTTGCATTAGAGTGTTCAGTTTGAGCGTTCAGGTCTGGATTTAAAAAAATCAACAAAAACGTGCAACATTTAAAAAGGGATGAATATTTTTGTAAGGCACAGTAAATACACTATACTACCTATTTTGTTTGCTAAGATATAAGCAGATATATGCCTGTGACTGAAATTGCTATTCATTTTAAATTACTATATCTAATTTTTAGCTTTAAGACATGGGTGATCAAATAACATACTTACGGCTGTAGGAATCATCTTTCACCAGCCATTGTTGAAAAATTGTGACTTTTAAGAAGTATTTTTTTAAGTACCAAAACCATTAAAGTTTAGTCGTTGGTGCAGTAATTAGTCTGGATGTATGGAAATGTTGTAGACAGCTGAATGATAATACAGCACTGTAGAATGCCTGCAAGGCTTTGTTTTCAAGTAGGATAAGCCCTTTATGAGTCTGACATACAGTGGAATAAATCAGGAAAGGAAATTGAGATCATTGTTCTTGGCAGTGTGGCGCTTTGTCGTAATTTATTAATGAGAATTAGGTTTTATGTTCTATCCCATTTAAAATTATAACCTTTCAATTATAAATCACCATTCAAAGCATACAATGAAAAATATGGTAAAAGCATAAACAAAAAATCAGTGATCAATTGACGGTCTACAGCATAAAACCTATAGGAATGCCTTTTTAAATTATTTTAAAGCAGATTTTGAAAACATAATAGAGCTGTTGCTTCTTTTTCATATGATGACTAGTCAGGTAGAATAGTTATGTTAACTTTTTCACACGTTAACAGCCTTGGATAACAGTTCCATGACTTGTCTTTGTGCATTATTATTTAATATGAAACGAAGTTTGGGTATTGACTCATACTCTGGTTCCGCTGTTATGAAAGTATTAGTCTGATGGTATTTGACAGGGCTTCTGTGTGGCTCAGCCAGTCGATGCACTTGCAGAGTCAAGCCTGGGTCACAGTATGAGCTGACTGTGTGGTGGTACGCTTGGCTGAACGCCGCGGAGGGACAGGCAGGAATAGTTGGCCGTGGTTATATTTAATCCCAGCCGTTACGATGTGATAAGCAGGGGAGGGAAGCCGCAGTCCGCTGACAGGCTGAGGAATCCAGTAGCTGGGCCCAGCGAAGACTCGGAGACTGACGGGGAACTCGCCGTTGTTCTGGTGCTTGGCGAAAGCAACGTAGTGCAGACAGGCAGAGCCGGTTCAGGACAGACAGGGAATCTTTCGGGCAGGATTTGGTATGAGTGGCAGGTTGGTAATGCTGTGAGCACTACCTGGGTCGGGAGGTATCTCGATGACAGCGCACCGGATCAGTGGCAGGTAAGGATTTAAATATCCTGCTCTGGTGGAAGTAGCACCCGTTCGTTTGAGGAAGGGGGTTGGGACAGTCGGCCCGAGTGAGTCCGAGTAGCTATGAGTGATGTTTCACTGCTCGTGTAAATGCGAGGAGACAGAGGGCTGCAAGCTATTTCTCACCCTGGAATAATACCAGTAACACAGCAATCCAGGTGTTTGCAGACCACTAATACTGCTAGTGAGTGACTCGCCTCTCCTCCAGTCAGCACTGGACCTCCGGCACGGGGCTGTGCTGTGATCCAGGCTGAGTCCCGCCCTGTGCCTTTTGCTTCCTGGGATAGGTTCTGGCTCCCCTGTGATCCCACTTTGCAGCAGTTGGAAAATGGGTGGATGGTACAGATTGTTAAGGTTGAAGGGTAGGTTTTTACTAACCGTATCTTTTCTGTGTGCTGTGTGCTTCAGATGTTTTGAAGGAAGGCAGCGCTGTTTACCCGTCGCTCCTGAAGCAGGAGGTCGAAGCTGTGAAGGAGAAGCACCGCTCCCCATTCTACTGCGATAAACTCCTGCAGCACATCAGCCAGCTGCCAGAGGACAGGGTTTGAATTTCAGCGCGATCCCCCTCTGCAAACCCCTCTCAACACAGATGTGTTTCATGTTTGTCTGTGCAGCTCATCTGCCAAATGTGTACGAAATTACAAGTCTACAGAACTGACCCACATCACATTAGATGTATCTAGTAAGCAGCTAAACATTCCCTTCAATTTTTTTCCTGCATTTCAAATTAAATGCACATGCTCATTTCTACTACTTAGTGTTTCTTTAAGGGTTTAGCCATTAAACAAGATTTTTTATTGTTTTCTTATAAGTTATGATGGTGATGTAACTTTGTATGTAATTGATTACCTTTTAACATTTATTTCACACGATCAAATTTATAGAAATTTGAAAATTCTTTGTTAACACATACAGTACATTGTATTTGTGCTGCACAGAGGAATGTGAAATTTATGCATGTGTGAGATGTTCAGTGCCTTAACTTATTCAAATTGTGCTTTATATTTTTTAAATAAACATTGCTCTTTGTTTTCTTTATTTGGATCTCCTTTGTTTTATTTACATTCATTAGTTACAATAATCCTTACACTTATATAGCACTTTTCTGGACACTCCACTCAAAGCGCTTTACAGGTAATGGGGATCCCCTCCACCACCACCAGTGTGCAGCCCCACCTGGATGATGCGACAGCAGCCATAGTGCGCCAGAACGCTCACCACACACCAGCTATCAGTGGGGAGGAGAGCAGAGTGATGAAGCCAGTTCATGGATGGAGATTAATAGGAGGCCATGACATGGTTAACGGCCAGGACACTAGGGTAACACCCCTACTCTTTTCGAGAAACACCCTGGAATTTTTAATGACGATAGAGAGACAGGACCTTGGTTTTACATCTCATCTGAAGGACGGTGGCTTTTACAATATAGTGTCCCCGTCACTATACTGGGGCATTAAGACCCACACAGACCGCAGGATGAGCGCTCCTTAATCGTCCCCTAACACCTCTTCCGGCTGCAACCTTTTTTTCGCAGGAGGTCTCCCATCCATATGGGCCAGTCTCACTACTCCTGAGCTTCAGTGGGTTGCCAGTTGTGAGTTGCAGGATGATACAGATTATTATTAAGGTTTAGTTACAACCTTTAAAAAGAAAGTTCAGAGAAAATTTGGATAGTTACAGGTTCATAGATACTTCAGAGAAATATAAAATTATACATTCCTACTCCTTTATATTTTCAGTAGCACCAATGCAAATTCTATTAATCTATTTTAAGAGGAAAAGGTGTCCACTAGGTGGCGTGAAAGTATTTCCACTATGAGGTCCATAGCTGAGAACTTTGAGAAAGATCTTCCACTGTGTGTGCATTAGGTACAGTATATAGGATTTTGGATATTGATTAAATGTTATTGGCATCATTTTAATCATTCACAACTGGTTGCGATGTGTCTAAGTGTCTTAATGTTACTTGCAAGCTAATCTCACTACTGAGAGGGCTGATTCGGCACATGTGATGAGATGATTTAAACTGGAATGTCAAGCCTGGTGAAATTTTAGAATAAAAGCCATTTTTTCCATTTTTTCCATCTGATACATTAAATGTAAGCTATAGCATTTGTGGGTGTAAAGCAGTCATTTTTTGCCTGAGACAGTTACACATATTTTCTTAGATTCACCTATATTGTTTGGCACATCTGGATAAATCTAGGGTATTGACACCCTTTTGGAACTGATATTGGCAGTATATTTACTTTATCAATATATGGTCTACTAAGTTTGCTTGTACATGTTTTGTTAGGGTGAAAGACTCTTGACCAAAACATCATTGTAAAATTGCATCATCAGTTTCCCTTTGGGATCAATAAAGTCTTATCTATTTAAAGTGAAAACATGCATCTCCTTGTTTAAAAAGCTGTGGAGATGGTACAGGCAGCAAATGACAAAGTAATGATGCACTGAAAGCAATACTTTTCTATAGACAGATATAATACAGAAATTATTTTATTGTCAGGGACACAGCACATAAGAGGAGCCGTGAATGAGATCAGCTTGTCTGAATCATGTCTATGGACGGACACTGCTTTAGCACCACAGGGTGAAGCAGAAGGTTACACATTTTAAGAGACCTGTTACTTTTAAATAAACACATTGAGCCCACAATAACTAAGAAAAAAATGTGTTCTTTATAGACCAAAAGTTCTTTATAGAACAATGTTTGAAAGTAGTTTGCTATTATTGAAATCTTTATTACATAATATTATAAAGCTGTATTCAGTAATGTTCAGTCTTCTTGCTGAAGTTCATCTCATTCCTACAGCTCCTCTTTAGCTGGTGAACTGGGGTTGATGTGGACTGGATTCACCAAACGCACTTTGTCTTTGTGGCGCTGCAGCAAAGTTTCAACATGCTTGTCCCTGAATTCACGCTTCTTATTGTCCTGGAAAGAAGAGGGACTTTGTAGTAATAAGGTACAGTAGTAAGAAAACGGTGATGTGTAAAACACGTGGATAAAGTTTCACTGAAAGGGGAGGTTTTAGACTAAAACAATGAATACTTTGAGACTGAAGATGTGATTGATGATTTGTTGTAGCGAACGTGCATGTTGAAACGCTTGTTTTTTTTTTCACTGTGTACAGTTCCAAAAGAGACTATCTGTTTTACTGACACTGATCCATATTGTCCTTCCTGTAAAAGTGAATTCAAAACTAGGTGATTAGTCACATCGTTTGGCTGCCATCTCAGATTTGGTGAAAAACAATTGATCGACTTCTCTGAAGAAGCCACGAGGCCAAAGGAAGCAAAGGATTTTCTACATAAAACAGGTTGTTCTGTCAGCTGGAATTGTCCTTCTGCTTATCCAGATTGCTACCTTAAATACCGTACAGAGCAGTCTCAAAACGATGCTGTGAGAAATCGATATGTAATCCACTGTGTCTTGGTGGCTGAGTGTGCTAAACTCCAGAAACATCATGTATTCCCAGAGAGCAAATTAATCTACAGTGAATAAAGCATTTAATCAATCTTTTCTCTGGACTTGCCCTGTTGGAACATAGATTGGTATACATAGACTAGCATATGTCCCCTGTCTAGAGTGTTTGGGGCTCTTTAGTTGTGCAACCGTCCCCCTCTTGTGAAAGATTTGGCTACAATAATGAAATATGGCTGCCGTGAGCCGATCCAGTCTCAGATGTGCACAACATACAGTACATGTCTTTACTTACTTTGTGACATATATCTACAGCAGAATGTTGTAGGCTACTAATTCACTACAGAGGAAAAGCAGCCACATCTGTGGGAGTAAGAGTCCACATCTGAATAAAGCTCATTGGTCACACGACCTGTCCTTCTAGACCTGATGGAAAATTAGGTTATAACTCCATGCCAGACGGACATGGTCATGGCTACTAGGAAACACAAATACAGTAGGAATCCTGATGTGCTTTAACAAAACCCATATCTTACCTACGACCTACGGCCTTTACTAAAGGTCACATGCAAAATCTTCTCAAGGCTCGTTAGAGGAAGCTCGAAAGAAATACACATGGACAGCAAAACATGCTCTATAAAAACTGTTCTTGCCCATGCCAGCTGGATCGCTGGATGTTCAGCTGTTATTCCAGGGTTTTTCGCGTGTTTACCTGAGTCTGCGCTCGCTTCACTCCCATGCAGGCCAGAGACTGCTCGTAGCAGAAGAGAATGTCAAGTTCGTCCGCTCTCCTGGTCAGCAGCGCCTCGTTAAAGTCCTTACCGTGGGCATCTGTAAAACCGCTCGCATGCATTAGACTCCCTGCTGTTGCTTTGCAAAACACAGCACCGATTAAGATCAATAAGATCCGGTGGTCGTTATGATTATTTTTGCATTGCTATGAGTTAAGAGGTCATAAAACGTAAAGACGGTGTTTCAGAAGAGGTGTTTGCCCAGCTGCACGGCAGGTAAACACAGATGATCAAGGAGGGGTGTCTGATGGTTTCCTCTGGTTAATTAACGTCTTAGCAAATGGTTTGAGTCTTCTTTAGCCCAAGAGACAGCATAAAAAGGACAGGGGAGATTAAGAGTAAAGGGAGGGAAGGAATGAGAAGGAACATCATCACTTTTCTCTTCCTCTTCGCCTGTGCCTTGCGAGAAAACTTTCTTCCGGTCAGATTCTGACTCGGCAATTTGAGCCTCATCCTAGACAGCTGGCTGTCTTATTTATTGAAGGAAATCTGATTTCTTTTATGCTGGAATCCTCAGGTTAAATGACGCAGCTCCTAGTGAATGATGCATCTTTTGCAGGAGGGGATTCCCACTGATTTTCGGACATCCAGGTTATGGGAAAGGAGATCTGGCTACCGGTCATATTCGTTACTTTAGGAAGCGGGTTGGATTTCTCTTATTGGAGGCCACCGAGTCTATATAGTCTGACTGATGTTAATGTTGTATTTTGTGTAGTTTAGTTTGTGTTATTTTATTGCTAATACTTGTTTATCAAACTCTGACTCTGAATTGTGCCAGGGGAATAAACAGCTTGCGTGCCTCAAAGAACGCCGCGTACTGCTCGGATGTTTTTTGACACAGTTAACGTGTTATTGTGCACTCGCTATTTTATGTCAACGGGCTGCTGTGTTTGAAAATAAATTTGTCAGAACTGTTTTTTATTTTTTCCCCCCACTAGAATTTAAAGACATCAGGATTCAACTTGAAATTTACATTAGTTTCAACTTTGTTTATAATAATACTGTTAATGTTTATATAATAAAAATAAAGTTTTTAAATCTAGACTAAATACGTATCCGGTTGCTCTGGCTTTGTTTGCCTTTTCTAACTTTTCCTACTTTTTTTAAATCTCTGTTTTATTTATTTTTATGTTGATGTTTTTTTTTATTTTTTGCTTGATTTGTTTTACTCTGTAAATTGCTCTGAACGGTGTCGGAGGACACGGGCACTGAAAGTAACCTTTGTAATCCTTGTAAAATCTAAATTCTGTAACAACAGAGAACATTTATTAATTACCGATGTCATATGGCTTAATTTCTTATGACCAGTTCCCTGTAACTTGATGTCCCACATCTTAATATGCAATCCTGTGACATCGCTTCTATCAATTAGTCGTCTATGTACAGAGAGGTACGTATTTGTATTTCTGCAACTTTAAAATATAACAGCAGATATAGGTTTTTCTCCGAAACAGTTTACACACAAGGACCCTTACCTTGTCTTAAAGAGCTGTCTCTCAAGCTCTTAAAATTATATCCTGTATTTTTGTATTCCTCTAAGGCAAACTGATGTGGTAGGACAGGAGATTTGTTTTAAATCCCCTATTTAAGATACAGGATATAAGAGTTAAATTCATATGCAAAATAGAGATACAACTCAAAAGCATTTATATTAATTGTGGATTTTTCTGATGAGTGTCTAAACATAGCATGAAGAAACAACCAAATTACCTAACAGGTGCTTGCAGGCTTCTATCATTTTGTCTGTGGGTAAATTGACGCCTTTAAATATATCAGCTTCACACACAGAATCAGTCAGTTTCCGTTTGTCGGTTTGGTCTGTA